TTTATACAATGATTTAAAATAAATAGACCCCTCAAAAAAAGAAAAAAAAATTAATATAAATTCTTGGCATAATATTTCTATGCTAAAATTTAAGATTCAATAGAATACTCTGGGACTATCATGTGATTTTACGTCGTGAACATGATAATGGTCAAATAATTCTATTCCACTTTAATTTCTAGCCAGTGAATGTGATTATAATGATAATACTTCTATTGTCAAATTTTATGGCAGTTTGCAGAAAGGTACAACACCATGATTTTTATGATGCGGAGAAGAATCTTCAAGATATTGTCAGAAGAGTGACAGTTGATTGATGTAATAGAATATTCAAAATATAGTAATTAAAGAGTAACACATATGTGATAATTATTAAAAAATACAGTAATCATTATATAATACGAAGATATGTATAAATAAAAAAGAAAGAAATTCAAGTTTTTCTCTAAATAATAACCAAATAAAGGCATATTCATTTCATTGTTTACCTTATCCTTAATAAAAAACAATTAAGTGAGTATTCGATTATTTTCTAATAATCTGGAACTAGATATTCAACCAACACCATAATACGTATAGATTATAGTTTTCAATTAGTAACATATTTATTGAAATCTTTAAATTTTTAAAAATTAAAAAATCTGCAAAGATCAATTCTTTCTGCAAACTGCCATAATTAGCATTATCAAATTGCATAATTGTACTTTCTAATATATTTGTTAAATTAATATTGTAAAAATAAGAGATTTCAGAATTAAAGTGCAGAAATCTAATCTTGATATCAACTTTATTGAAACCACTCAGTTTATATTTTATACAATGGAATTATTACCTCTTGTTGTGAAGAGAATGGAAAATGGATGGCTTCAGCAAAGTACCACGAAAGATGATATTCAAAATCAAGAGAACTTGGTATTTCCGGACGTAAAAGTGCAGATAGATTATTAAAAAATCTTAATTGTTGTTTTGTATTAAGAATACATCGCCTAAAATTTTAGTTCAGATAAAATAAAGTATTATAATTGCTATAAAAAGAAGTCTATTATTACAATTATAAATTGGGCTCGCTGAGAAATTCTTTACTCAGATATATACAGTATTAAACTTAGGTTGTCTAGGTATATGTTAGGTTGATACTAAAATTGGATGATGCTAAAATTTTGGAGTCTTGATTTAAAAAATATAACCTTTACAAAAATTCACCTATACTCTATAAATACTAACCTTAAACTCTAGTTCCAAAATTTCAGCATCATCCCCAACATTATATTTCAAGTAATTATATAACGATCTCTACCTGAGCCCAATCTCTAAATACAAGCTCTCTTACTTATAGTACTCTCTTTCTTGATATGCCAAATTAATATGGGCATTCCATTGTTGAACATTTTGATCTCGTTCACTTTCTGTCCAGAATTGAGCATTAAACCACATGTTTTTACAAAGTGTACATAAATCATTTTAAAGTGATAAAAAGCGAATTTCTGGTACGTATTTTTTTCAAATTCGCACAAAAAACCATCGACTGATGTTAAAATCAGAAGTTTTATCTAAACTTGATTGATAAATACGATATAATCTGACATAACTTTTACTCGCAGAAAGATATGTAATAGTCATAGTATTTTCTCGAAAGTGGCGACCTAATAAAATTTTTATTATACAGATATATTTTATTAAATAAGTCTTATTCACATAAAAATTGATAAATCAAATATTATCAATTTATTGTACGGCCAAGTTGTTACTGCTATAAATAACTAATAGCACTAAAAATTCTAATATAAAGAAAAACAAAACTTTTAGAGCCACATTACTTATTTAATATGATCAAATGCTTATGACAGTAACAACTACCAAATAATAATAACATTATCGTATAGGGTACAATAGTATTAATGAATGAATCAAATATCTTTGATTTACTGATACTTTTTTTTAAGCACTATACAATAACTTATAAATATCAAAATTTCAATTTCGGTTTCGATCAATTCACTGACAGCCACTTCACCGAATGCTCATTTAGCCGACATCACATAGGGTTAGGGTTAAGCATTTGATAAGTTACAGATATATATTTTTACTAAATTTCACCTGGGGTGATGTTGGCTAAATGAACTGTCAATGAAGTGATTGTTGGTGAAATAACACAGACCCATCAATTTACCTGGTAATGGCAACCCATAGCAATTTGTATAATTGATAATAAATATAAGAGCATTTAAAATAGTTGAAAATGACAAAGCATGGCAAGATCTTCTTCCTGAAAGTGCATGTACTATGGGTTTAATATCATTAATCTGGTAATGACTATGAATGGTTTTCTATTTTTTAGCTGATAACAAATATATAGTCAGAAAAGCTTTCTCGCAAATTTTACTATTATTAAAAGTATATTTAACGGTTAAATATTGTATTTTTTTACCACGGGCCATTATATGAAACATTCTTAAAATAAATATTTTATATTCAGTTTTTGATAATTTTCGAATATTATCGAATATTTGAAATGCAAATTTATAATTAATTTTGGATAAACATTTTTTGGTTTTACAACAAACTAATGTACAAAGTTTTAAAAAAAAAAAGCCTCCTTCTCCTGCTGATCTAGAAGAGTTGTTAATAGTTTATTAACTTCGGGCTCTTCATTATTTTCTTCAATAGGATGTTGAGCAAATATTCTTTGAAAAGTTTCAATTTGTAATAGCGTAATGATTTGATTATCGAATTGTTGAATTTTTTCATTATCTTTCATCTTTTTATTATCTTGTACATCGCTAAGTTCCACATTTTCAGAAGGTAATTCTTCTGTCTCTAATTTTTCTTTAAATTCTAATTCATAATCATTACTTGTTTGATAGGATGTTTTGAGTTGGTTAAATTCTTTTGCTAACGAATATATTTCTGAATATGTTTCTAAAAAAATCAAAGAAACTAATGTATGTGTCAAATCTATTTTTTTTCTTTTGATAAAATTAAACATGGAATCAAACAAAATGTATAGTTTTAACCACAACTAATTAGAAAATTATCGGGCAAGAGTAACATTAAATTTCTATATATTATATTGCTATTTCATTCATGCAAACCATGCATAAAATGTTTGATTATGTATCAAAGTATTATGACTAAGATTTTTCTTTGTTTTTAACAATAGGTCTTCCAAAAATATATAGCTCTAGGTCAAAACACAACCAATTCAGCTAACTGTAATAACAATTTAAGTAATTATAAGTCAATACGTAAAGTAATTGTCACTGCTATTGTTAATGTTCCAGATAAAAAATTACCATATATTAAACATGATCCCTCAAGTCTATTTATGAAAATATGATAAGCTTACATTGGGTTATTCCTTTATTTCTCTATGAAGTACTGTACATAGTAACAAACGCCTATATGCATAAATAGATAAAAACTCTGTTATAATATATTTACTAATAAAACATAAAATTTCATTGTATAGATAACTAATAAGGACTATACATAAAGAAATACGTATAAGTATTGCAGATATACACAATTCGAAAATAAACAGATAGAAATTAGAATATTTATAATTGATTATAATACGTATTCATATTCTAAAATTTACTAATTCTAATTATATACAATATATTCTATTATAATTACCTATCTAAGCTTTCAACAATGAACTAATGCTTTATTTTCATTTTTCTTAATTCCAATTCTATATTTATAACATAACCAAGCCAGAATATTCTGACCGGATTATCATAATTATAATTTTCAATCAATAAATATGTTCTATTTCCAATTCTATATTCGTAACAATAGCCAAGCCAGATATTTCACCTACTGTTTATTTCTGCAGAATTTCAATGATTAATGATGAATTCTTAATTTAATAATAATGACCAAGCAAAAATATTATCACACGGTCCATTTATACCTGCACATTTTTGATAATAAATAGATGTACTATTTCATCTTTCTTAATTCCATTCATAATAAGAATGAAGCCAGAATATTTCTATTAGAAGCTACCCAAGCTTAAACTAATTAAGCGTAACGAATATCAAAAAATATAACTAAAAATGTATTATACCTATTGTTGGCCGTATTTAACTCAACTTGCTCACGATATAATAGAAAAAAAAGTTATTTTTGGATTTTAAATAAAAAATTTACTTAA